AGAAGGGTGTACATCGGACAAAGGGGACTCTTGACTACCTTCATATGGATTGTTGGGGTCCTGCACGTGTTGAATCTATTGGAGGTCACAGGTTCTTTATGTCGATAATTGATGACTACTCGAGAATGACTTGGGTAATCATAATGAAGCATAAAAGTGAAGCATTCAAGAGGTTCAAACAGTGGAAGAGCTTGATAGAGAATCAGACAGGGAAGAAGATCAAGCGATTGAGAACTGATAATGGTCTGGAATTCTGTTCGTCTGAGTTCAATGAGTTCTGTAAGAACGAAGGGATTGTTCGACACCACACCATTAGAGATACACCACAGCAGAATGGTGTGGCAGAACGCATGAATCAGACACTACTGGAAAGAGCAAGATGCATGCTCTTTCATGCTGGTTTGACTAGGAAGTTTTGGGCAGAAGCAGTAAACACGGCGTGTAATCTGATTAACCGGGGACCTCACACTGGTATTGACTGCAGAACACCCTTCGAGGTATGGTCTCAATCACCTGCAGATTACTCTACATTGAGAACTTTTGGTTGTACAGTTTATTATCACGTGAGTGAGGGTAAACTAGAACTAAGAGCAAAGAAGGGCGTATTTGTTGGTTATGGGGATGGAGTCAAGGGGTATAGAATTTGGTCACCATCAGAAAATAGAGTTATCCTCAGTCGGAATGTGGTGTTTGATGAAAATTCTATGCTTAATTTTGTTGTGAAGTCCATTGGTGCAGAAAATTCTGGTGTTGATAAACAGGTGGAGCTGCAAGTCACTCCAAATGAGAGTGAATTACAACCCCAAGGTGGAGAAGATCAACACACTACTGCTGAAACTACTATTTCTGATGTTCATCCAGAAGCTCGTCAAAGAAGCATCGCCATTGATAGAGCTAGGAGAACAGGTGTGAAGCCTCCGGTGAGGTACGGGTTTGAGGACATGGTGACATATGCACTTCAGGTCGCCGATGAGGTGGAAGATGAGCCATCGATGGACGAACCATCTACATACAAAGAAGCTGTTTCGGGCAGCGAGTGCGTCAAATGGCTCGCTGCAATGGGAGAAGAGATGGAGTCATTGTCTAAGAATCAGACTTGGGAGCTGGTCACACGGCCTAAGGAGAGGAAGATTGTTACTTGCAAATGGATTTTCAAGAAGAAGGAAGGAACCATCCCTGGTGAGGGTGTTAGATACAAAGCACGGCTAGTGGCAAGAGGGTTCACACAGAAGGAGGGGGTTGACTATAATGAGATTTTCTCACCAATAGTCAGACATACTTCCATCAGGGTGTTACTTGCGATGGTTGCACATCAGGATCTGGAACTTGAGCAACTAGATGTGAAGACAGCTTTTCTACATGTATTGCTTGAGGATGATATCTACATGACCCAGCCCGAGGGATTCGTGGTTCCAGACAAGGAGAATTATGTTTGCAAGCTGAAGAAGTCTTTATATGGACTAAAGCAGTCTCCAAGGCAGTGGTATAAGAGGTTTGATACTTACATGATCCAGCTAGGATTTAGCAGGAGTCCATATGATTGTTGTGTGTATCACAACAAAGCTGATGATGGCTCCATGATCTATCTTGTTCTGTATGTGGATGATATGCTCATAGCTGCGAAGTCGAAGTTAGAGATTCAGAAGTTGAAGGGCCATCTAAATGCTGAGTTTGATATGAAGGATCTGGGTGCTGCAAAGAAAATTCTGGGCATGGAGATATACAGGGATAGAGATCAGAAGAAACTTTTCTTATCACAGAAAAGCTACATTGAGAAGATTCTGTCAAGGTTTGGCATGTCTACAGCTAAGCCTATTGATACTCCAAGTGCCACAAACATCCATCTATCATCTGATTATGCACCAAAATCTGAAGCAGAGTTGGAGTTTATGTCTCGAGTTCCATACTCCAATGCAGTAGGAAGTCTGATGTATGCTATGGTCTGCACTAGACCAGACATAGCACATGCTGTTAGTGTTGTTAGCAGGTTCATGGGACAACCCGGAAAGGAGCACTGGCAGGCTGTGAAGAGGATTTTCCGCTACCTAAGAGGTACGTCTGATGTTGGTCTCATATATGGAGGTGGTACTCACTATTCTATGACTGGCTATTCTGATTCTGATTATGCTGGAGATGTTGACAGTAGAAGATCTATGACTGGTTACGTTTTCACTCTGGGTGGTTCTGTTGTTAGTTGGAAAGCAACTTTGCAGACTGCAGTTACTCTCTCTACCACTGAAGCAGAATATATGGCGTTGACAGAAGCTGCTAAAGAGGGAATTTGGTTGAAAGGGCTAGTTGGTGATCTTGGTCTGCATCAAGAGCAAGCTGTTGTGTTCTGTGATAATCTGAGCGCTATCTGTTTAGCCAAGGATCAGGTCCATCATGAGAGGACCAAACATATTGATGTGAGATATCATTTTCTGAGGAATGAGAAGAAAATCAAGGTGGAGAAAGTGGGCACTGCTGATAACCCTGCTGATATGTTCACCAAGCCAGTCCCACATAGCAAGTTTCGACATTGTTTGGACTTGCTTAACATCAGAAGCTGTTAGTAGCCCTGCGGGGCAACTCTGAGGAAGAGGGGGAGGTCTGGCACAACCATAGTGCGTCTGAAGAATCTGTATGGAGAATTCAAGTCAAGGTGGAGATTTGTTAGAATGCCTTGAATCTGACCCATCACAGCTCCAGAATCCGGAAAAGTCAGAACCCGGAGAAGTCAGAATCCGGAAAAGTCAGAACCCGGAGAAGTCAGAATCCGGAAAAGTCCAATTACTGAGAAATCCGAATTCCGGAGAAGTCAAGAAATCCGAATCCTGAGAGGTCCGAATTTTGAGATGTCCGAACTCCAATCTAATTGGGCTGTTTAATTATCTGTTAACTCTGTAGTTTTGGGCCTAAGTATGTTAGGGTTTTGTCAAGCACTATTTATATGGGTGCTACCTCAAACCCTACGTGATGTACTCTGTTTTGCCTCTCCATCTGAAATAAAACTGCTCCCCCTCTTCCCCGTGGACTAGCCAACACAACGTTGGTGAACCACGTTAAATCTGTTTGTTGTGTTTTTTCTGTTTGTTTCTTTGATCACTCAATACCCTATTCAGTAACAACAAAACACAAGAAAACACATAAACATACTACCTCCGTCCCTCTATATTCGTCCACTTTTGACTTTTGGAACTGTTCATCTAAGCACTTTGACTCATCAAATTCTCTAAATGTGTAAGCCTAAATATAGTCATGTGTGATCTTGTTTGATTTGTCTTAACATATAGATTACTAATATATAATTTTTATAATTTTTTAATATACAAATTACAAGATAATATGGATTAAAGAAGTGCATTGGATGGTGTGCAAAAATGAAAGTGGACAAATATAGTGGGACGGAAGGAGTATGACTTATACATTAAAAAGGACTTACAAAATAGACTTTTTTACAAAATATATCAACTTTTTCTCATCTTACTCGTTCTATAAAACAGTCCAATTTCTTTAAAATAAACTGAAATACCTCTCTTTAATCCTTCTTAACTATTCATTATATTGATGTCAAACACCAGAATACATCTTTTTTAATTAAATTATCCAAAAATCAAAACTCAATTTTTTTTTTGTGGTGGATGCATAGGCCACTACGGATCGATAATTTTGTTCCCGATTGCATGTCGAATAATTTTTCAGGGAGTAAATGTGAAGACGGTGTTGCCATCATTAATGTCACTTTAAGAGACAAAGTTGCCGATGGATAAATGGGCAGCATTTAAAGGCCATGCCTTGGCCAAGTCATAATCTCAATCTATTTTTATTTAAAATTACTTCTGATTTAATCAGGTCATTTGATTTGATTTTAATAAAAATAAGTAATACGTGAAAATAAGTTGTAATACGTGAAAATAAGTTGAGCAGAACATGACCTTGTACTTCCTATATTACTTCTCTATCACTTTATTCTTATCTCATTTGTAAACTAAAAAAAATATGTACGTGATCATTAATATTTCTCTTTTTTATGAATTTCAATGTTTCATTTTTAAATATTTCTCTCCTTTTTGAAAATTATTCCTCTTTCATTTTTTAACAAAATAATTTAATTTAACTTTTAAATAAAATGACTAATATATCTAAATAAAATCATTGCTATATACTTTAATTACTCCGTATTTTGTATTGATATACTCCTCCAACCCAATTTAAGTTGTATTTTTACTACTATAAGATCAAATTTTCTCCACATTTTTTTACCCATTTTAGCTACTCATTGAAGAAAATAACATAGTCAATCTTGCCACATTTTATTTTGTAGAATTTTTTATGTAAATTTTAAATATATAAACTTTATTTTTTAATTAATTCCATAGCAACTTTTAAGTTAATTGAATTAAAAATTATTTTAGACAAATTTCGTAAATAACAATAGACAATTTAAACTGAGACAAAGAGAGTATTAAATTAATTATGTGATTTGGATCTCTTTTGTCTTCGGCGCTAAAAATATAACAGAAAAATAAAATTATAAAAATAAATCTGGCAAAACATAAAATAGGAACATTTAGGAACTGATTTCGAAAATAGAGAGAGAGTGTGTGTGTAATATATTATAGAGAAATTTACGTAAATAGCACTAAAACATAATAACTTTCGCTAAATAGCACTACATGTGTTTTTCATTCCAATGTAGCAATTTTAGTCATTATCCATAAGTCATTATTAAAATAAATGTTTGTCATCACTGGTCATGATAGACATTATTAAGCGCTATTTAGGAAATAAAACAATTTAAGTGCTATTTAGAGAAATGTCTTAAGTTTTAGCGCTATTTAGTGCAAATATTTCTATATTATTATACTCCCTCCGATCCATCCTTAAATCTTCTTTTTGTTTTGACTTTAATGTTATTCAAGGAAAAACTATTTTTGTGTTGATTTATTTAAATTAACATCTATTTGATAAATAAAAGTAAGATATGATAAATAAATTAGTAGTAAAAAATGAGAAACCTAACCATATTTTTGTACGTCCATCCTAAGTCAATAAAGTCAAACTTAACATAAAAAAAACAAAGTGAAACCTGTGCCAAAAATTATAGACAGTGAAGAAGAACTTATGTGGCGGTGCTGCAGAGTCAATGCCGCGGCAGAATAAAGAGGCGGGGAAGGAATGAAGGAAATGAGTCAGAGAGGGGCCAAAATAATGTTCTTCAACACGACAATGTTATTCTTTATCCTGTGGGCGTTTTCATCGCTGTTTACATTTTCAGAATCGTCTTCACACGACGACCAGCAACTCTACGTGGTTCACATGGACCCGCTGCCGCCCGCCGCCGCCGAGATGGCGGCATCGTTCTCGTCGAATTCTCCCCGCACTTCCTGGAGACGGTACGAGGATGTTCTCGACTCCGTCCACCACTCTTCCTTCGCTGCTGCTGCTGCCAAGACGGCTTCCCCGTCCCCTCCTCCGCCGCCGCCGCCTCAGCTGCTCTATGTTTACGACACCGCTCTTTCCGGTTTCGCCGCAAAACTCTCCGGACCCCAACTGGAGTCGCTCAAACAGCACGGCGGCTTCATATCCGCCGTGCCGGACGAGATCCTCACCCTCCACACCACCCGCTCCCCCCAGTTCCTCGGCCTGAGAACCGGGAGAGGGCTCTGGAGAGCCAGAACCCTCGCATCCGACGTGATAGTGGGCATCATCGACACTGGGATATGGCCCGAACACCCCAGCTTCCGCGACAATGCCCCAGGAGGAGGGAGGAGGACCGCAGTCCCCACTCGCTGGAAAGGCGAGTGCGAGCAGGGCCCGCGTTTCTCCCCTTCGAACTGCAACAACAAGCTGGTCGGAGCGAGGATCTTTTACAAAGGGTACGAGTCCATCGTGGGAAGAATCGACGAGAATGCCACGGAGTACAGGTCTCCCCGAGACTCGCAAGGTGAAAGAATTATTTGAGAGGAAATTCTCTTATATTGAATTGGCTTGTGAAACTTGTTTTGAATATAAATTAAAGATTTAACCCTCTTTATATAGGAAGAGAGCAAAGTAAACAAGGAAATTTCTATTTTTACTAACATAAGAATAAAACAAACTAGTAAAGATACTAAATACTAAACTTAATCCAACTAGAAAAGATACTAAACCTAATCCCAAAGGGATTCAGTTTCCTTCTTCAATACCGCTTCCTTCCTTCTGTCTCTAACACTTTCCTTCTTCAATCTTGTTTCCTTCTTTTATCTCTAACACAAGGTCACGAGACCCACACGGCCTCGACGGCTGCGGGGTCCGTCGTGAGAGGCGCGAGCTTTCAAGGCTTAGCGAAAGGGCGGGCGAGCGGGACGAAGTACACAGCTAGAATTGCAGCTTACAAAGCTTGTTACTTGCTTGGGTGCTCTAGCGCTGATGTGCTTGCCGCCATAGATAAAGCGGTTGGAGATGGAGTTGATGTTATATCACTCTCCTTGGGAGGCTTATTGCCTAAACCTTTTTATGCAGATAACATAGCCATTGCTGCGTTTGGGGCAATCCAAAAGGGAGTCTTTGTGTGCACATCCGCTGGAAATTCAGGTAATATAACTAATGACACTAAAAAACAATTCCACTAAAAGTTCCAACTTACAATTGTATGTCACGAAAGTTTGTTACAGTCTATTTTAACGATATAAAAATAATAAAATATGAAACTACAGGACCGTTGGAATCAAGTGTTGGTAATACAGCACCATGGATGATGACAGTTGCAGCTAGCTCCATCGGCCGAAGCTTCCCCTCCATTGTTGAGCTTGGCAATGGAAACATTCTCCGCGGGGAATCCTTGTACTCCGGCAAGCCCACAAAAAGACTCCCACTTGTATATGGCAAAGGTGAAGATTATAATTTAATTATTAGGACTAAGTTTTATTGAATTTTTATATTATTCTAATCACTTTATTTCATGGTGATGACCGTTTGATAACAATGCAGGCAAAAAAGGTGCTGAGTTTTGCACCAATGGAACACTATATTCGGGTTTGGTTAAGGGAAAGATTGTGGTTTGTGAGAGGGGAATCAATGGCAGAGCCGAGAAAGGAGAGGTGGTGAAGAGAGCCGACGGCGCCGGTATGATTCTTATTAACCGAGTAACAGACGGGGAACAAGTCTACGCCGATCCCCACTTGTTGCCGGCCGCCGGCTTGGGAGCTTCCGCCGGAATTGCCTTAAAACATTACGTTACTAGTAATTCCACTCAAACCCCGACCGCTTCCATCAAGTTCTCCGGCACGGTTTACGGGGAGCGGGCCCCAGTGATGGCCTCCTTCTCATCCAGAGGGCCCAGCGCGGTGTCGCCGGAGATCATCAAGCCGGACGTGACCTCTCCGGTGGTCAACATATTAGCCGCGTGGCCGCCGAACGTCGGGCCCACGATGCTCGGGAGTGACAAGAGATGTTAAAAATTCCGGCGGGCCGAGAACAACGGATAGAGTGTCGGGTAAAACTAACCACTTGCATATAAAGTCGGGATCCACAATTCTAACCCAAAAGCTTAAGCTGATGGGTAGGGCTTCACCCTTCAATATATGCAAGTGATACTTATCTTTATTTTCCGACGTGGGAACTCCAACAAGAGAAGCGTGGAATTCAACGTCCTCTCCGGGACTTCTATGTCTTGTCCTCACGTCGCCGGCTTAGCCGCCCTTTTGAAGTCGGCTCACGGCGACTGGTCGCCGGCGGCAATAAAATCGGCGTTGATGACCACCGCTTATACCCGCGACCGTGAAGGAGCTCCGATAGCGGATTCCGTCGCCGAGAACTCCACCTCCGCCACCCCTTTCGTCTTCGGGTTGGGCCACGTGGACCCGGAAAAAGCGGCGGATCCGGGCTTAATTTACGACATTTCCGCCCGAGATTATCTCAACCACCTGTGCGGCCTGAACTATTCTTCCGCCCAAATTGCCCTCGTCTCGCGGGAAAAATTCACCTGGCCGGGAAAGGGTAGTATGGTAAATGACCTTCAGCCCGGCGATCTAAACTACCCTTCTTTTGCGGTGATATTTAACGGCAGCGTTAAATCCAACCGCACTCTCAAGCGGACGGTGACGAACGTTGGGATATCTAGAAGCATTTACACTGTTCATGTGACGGGACCGGAGGGGGTGTCGGTGATTGTGGAGCCCAAAGTGTTGAAATTCAAGAAGCTGTGAGAGAAATTGAGGTACAACGTTAGGTTTGTGTGTCGGAGGATTGGGAGTGGCCATTTATTTGGATCGCTGGTTTGGAAATCAACAAAATATGGTGTCAGAAGTCCGATTGCAGTTACGTGGGTGAGTGAACATGGCAAGTTGAACTGGATCCATTCTTTAGAATGACTTTGGAGAGGGCAGTAAACGGATAGTCTAAAATTCGATTATCGTCTGCATCTGTATTCGTTTAAAAAGGAAATATTCGCATCCGTTTTAAACGGATGTTATCCGTATCCGATTAAGGATATCCGATTACTAAACGGATACAGATTTGGTAATTATATATTTGATCCGTTTAAAATCCGATCCGAATATGCATCCGTTTAAATAATAGTTTATCCGAATATCCGATCCGTTATATATAGTTTTTCCTAATTTTTTATGTTTATAATTTGTTTCTCTATTGATATTTCAAAATATAAGACATTTTTATATACAAAATAAATGTGTTGACACATAAAAAGATATACAGACATATAAAAGTATGTGTATATGTGTGTTGTGTATATCTTTTTATCATATGAAGTTATCGTACAATATCATAAATCATGAAAACAAAGAAAATAATTATCCCATATCAAATTATAGTTGATTTAATAATAGTTTGACTTTAATCTAATTTAAAATTAAAATATTGTTTAATTTGATTATAAAAATTGGAAACGGATACGGATATATCCGATATCCGACGGATGCGAATACAATTTTGATTTTCAGTATCCATCAAGATCCGTATTCGAATTCGATATCCGACAAAAATAAACGAATACGGATTTAGTAACGACACATCCGACCCGATTAATATCCGTTTTACACTTCTAACTTTGGATCGGTAGTTTAAAAGTTCATATACGGAGTAATATGTTGTCAAAAGATCCATCGGAGTCACCTCGATGGCCATGGACTAAAATGGTCCTTTAAAAAGACTTTTGTTCCCTATTTTATTTTGGAAAGCCACAAAATATATTGTCACAAGTTCGAGTGCAGAATGCACACAATTGAACGAGTAGGTGGTTTGGAAAATAAAAAAAATATTTTGCTAGAAGTGCGATTGCAGTTTATATATTTTAGTATAATTAGAAAAACTATTTGACCAATTGTATCATAATAATCATAAAAAATGTTTGATGATGCAGAGTGAACGTTTTGTTAAGTTTGTTAAGATAAAAACCTCGTTATTATGGGAGTTTCAAGGGGGCAACGCCTCCTTTGCGGGGGTTCGGGGGCACCCTCGAGCAGGGTTCAAGGGGTGGAAGCCCCTGCAGGGTCCAAAGTGCAGAGCCTCTAGTTGGGGCAAATACTATGTTAAAAATTCATTTGAATTTTTAATTTTCGAATTTTCCTTAGAAGAAAATTTTCAGAAAAAGACATAGCATGTTTCTTCAAATTCGCACGAGGAGACGCGAGTTTTAGATCGGAGACGTGACTGCAGTCTTTCTTCCCTTCCGCGACTCCATAAATTCTGCAGATCCTTGGTCACAAAAGTGATGTTCGGAAAATTCATATCAATCCACACTTGTTCTTGTCATATTTGAGTTTTTTAGGATTGATTTTTGGTTTGAACAACTAAAATAATCAATCTGAAAATGTTGCACGACTCTCAAATTGATCCGCGTTATCTTCGGTTTCCCCAACATATACTCTATTACAATTTGAACTATAGTTCAAAATCAATATATTGGTATTAAATTATCTCATTATACAATATACATAGTGTTTTTTTACATATAATGCTCAAAGTTTATAATGATTTTTGTTTGAAAAAAATATTGGGTTTTTAAGCACGTAAGAGTTAAGACACCAAAAAGTATTGAGAATGTAAGAAAAATGATTGAACAAGCACAATAAGGATATACAAAAAAAACTCCCTCCATGTTTAAAAGGCTAAATATTCCACTCATAAATAGAGTTTTCTATGCTCGGATATATTTTTTTGAACTAATTACTTTTATTCTTTACATTCATCCACACAAACCAAGACCCTTTCATTTTTCCCTATATTATTCTTGTGTAGAATCCTCATCTGCTCGTCCTTTCTCTACCTTAGCTTGGTGTATTGACAACACACACAGAGAATTGCCTTGCCTCCATTACTTTTAAATAGCCAATAATATGCACCATAGAAAAAGGAGGAAAAAGAGGACAATTATAAGAAAGAAAAAGTCCAACCAAGAATTTGATGCAAGTGTCAGGCCATCACCAACACCCCAAGTTACAAACAATCTCCATTTTTCGTTCTTCCTTTTCTTTTGGTTTCTTCTTTCCTTTGATTATTAATCAATTCCCAAGAAAAATGTGTTACAGAGTACTCTGTATTTATTTTGGGAACAATTAATCTTATTAATAACTAACGACAATAAATGGGCGTGCATAGATACAAAATTTTTCATGTCTATGTGTATTGGGGGTGTGTCATTCGTGTTTTTCTATGGAGAGATCCTCTGAATTGTTACAAATTGAAATGAGCTAATTCTCTTTCTGGATTTCTTTTTTGGTTGAGAACATTAAATTAAAATTACAAGACAGGAGAATCCCATTTATTTGGTGTCTTCTAGATTCTTGCTTGTTGGGTTTTGATTTCTCATATAAAGATTCAATCTTTATGGGAGAATTGAGAGAAAGGCAGCAACCCTTTTGGATATCTTCTAACTATTTGTGATTATGTCTGCAAGATTGAATATGCAAATTTGAAATTTCTGTGGAGATAGGCATATATATTGATGGAAAACTATAATAATTCTCAATCTCCTTACACTTATGGTAATGGCAATGCTTATGGATATCCATATGTTTCCCCAGAAAATCAAGGATACCCTCCATGCCCATATCCTCAATGCCATTTCTGTCCACATCTTCATCCAAACTATGCATACCCACCTAGGGTTCCATCTACCCCTCCATCATCAACTCCTAGTATATACCAACAAGGCATTGTAGAATATGGATACCCCCCACCACCGCCACCGCAATATCCTCCGTGTGTTGTTCCTTATCCGTACTACCTTTATCCTTCTTCTCCTCTTCCATGCCCACCCCATCATTATCCACAACCTGTTGTGCCTCAACATCAAATATTGCAGAACCAAACGTTGAGAAATGAGTTCCCCATCCTCCCAAGACAAAATTCATCCTCTTCAGTACTGGATACATCCTCTGTAAGGTCTAGTCCCCATCACCATCCTTCCTACTCAGACACATCAGTAGAAAAAGGACGCAGCAAGGGTCTGTGGCTTACACCGTCCACACCCTCTAAAACCTCAATGAAATGTCTACTCATACATGGGAATCTGGATATCTGGGTGTACGAAGCAAAAAACCTCCCAAACATGGACTTGTTTCATAAAACCTTAGGTGACATGTTTAAAAAACTGCCGGGGAACATGAGCTCCAAGATTGAAGGACACATGAACCATAAGATCACAAGTGATCCTTATGTCACAATTGCATTGTCAGGTGCAACCGTGGGACGGACCTACGTGATAAGCAACGACGAGAATCCCACTTGGATGCAACATTTTAATGTCCCAGTTGCACATTACGCTTCTGAAGTTCACTTCATTGTGAAGGACGATGACGTGGTGGGGTCCCAACTTATAGGGACAGTGGCAATTCCGGTGGAAAACATACATGGAGGGGGGAAAGTTGAAGGATTCTTCCCAATTCTTTCAAGTAATGGGAAGCCATCTAAGGCTGGTGCTATATTGAGTCTCTCAATCCAATACACACCCATGGAGCAACTAAACATTTACCACTTTGGAGTTGGGGCAGGGCCGGATTACACTGGGGTTCCAAGGACCTACTTTCCATTGAGAAATGGTGGGAAAGTCACCCTTTACCAGGATGCTCATGTGCCTTTCGGAAGCCTTCCAAATTTGGAACTTGAAGGTGGGATGAGGTATGTGCATGGTCAGTGCTGGACTGACATCTTCAATGCCCTGCGAAATGCTCGGAGGCTGATTTATATCACAGGATGGTCAGTGTGGCATAAGGTTAGATTGGTAAGGGATGATTCTTCCCTGGAAGAATGTTCTTTAGGAGAGCTACTGAAGTCAAAGTCACAAGAAGGGGTGAGGGTGTTGCTTCTGATTTGGGACGATCCTACCTCCAGAAACATCCTAGGATATAAAACGGTGAATAGTTTAAATTACTCATAGGGATTAAGTTGCGTTCTTCTTGGAAACGCTCCTCATGAGGTGTATAGATCATATGTGGTATGTGCAGGATGGAGTCATGGCGACACATGATGAAGAAACTCGTCGTTTCTTTAAACACTCTTCTGTGCAAGTGCTTCTCTGTCCCCGTGTTGCAGGAAAGCACCACAGTTGGATGAAACAAAGGGTAATAAGATATGTTATTTCACTATGTATTGCGGTTATTTTACGCATATGAATTATTATTATTATTATTTTTCTCTTTTTACTGTCGCAATTTAATTGATTGTCAGGAAGTTGGAGTAATTTATACACATCATCAAAAGACTGTGATAGTGGATACTGAGGCTTTCAATAACAGAAGAGAAATCACAGCATTTATCGGAGGGCTTGATTTGTGTGATGGGCGATATGATACACCTGATCATTCTATATTTAGAACTCTTCAGACTTTGCACTCAGATGACTATCATAATCCAACATTTGCAGTAATTAGCTTTCTTCCTGTTGGAATATATATGAACATAGGGTAGAGTTGTTTGAGTTGGTTGTTTTTGTAGATACACTGGTCCATTCAATTAACATGATTACAGGGGAATGTGTCTGGTTGTCCCAGAGAACCATGGCATGACATGCACTGTAAGATTTATGGTCCGGCAGCATATGACATCCTCACCAATTTTGAGGAGCGTTGGCTTAAGGCATCAAAGCCCCGTGGCTTTAAAAAACTAAAGAAGGCATACGATGATGCATTGCTACGGATAGAAAGAATGCCCGAAATCCTAAGCCCTTCTGATGTTTGTTATGTGAGTGATGATGATCCTGAAGGTTGGCATGTGCAGGTACCATGCATTTTTCTAAGATATTTGAAACTAAAACTCTTGCACTAATATTTGAAACATAGAAAGTTGTAGGACAAGAAGAAAAATGCCAAGGAGCCTAGTTTTTTCATGTTTGGTTTTAGTTTAGTGTGTTACCTTTGAAAATGCAAACTAAAATCAAATTTTATTGAAACAATATAAAATATATTAGTCCTTAAAATAACTAGAACAGCGACGATGACAATAACAAACCCAATTCCAGTAGACCCTTAATGCATTTACCAATCTAGATTACATTATACAAACATACAAATAATTTAAAATGAGCTTAAGAATGCCTAAAATAAATTTATTCAGAGCAAATCATATTTTATACAGAGTATTATCCTTTTCCTAGATTTTTTGTGTTTCCAATGGACTCTATGTGATAACGCATGTCCTTCCCGTACAGATATTCCGTTCCATTGATTCCAATTCAGTAAAAGGCTTTCCTAAAGATTCTAAACAAGCTACAATGAAGGTGAGAGTGAGAGCAAACATATATGAAATGTTTTTTCTTTTCACAATATCCCTCCTCCCCCACCTGAGTTACATGACTAGCATCTCCGATATCTTTGTTAAATAGAACCTGGTATGTGGAAAGAATGTCATGATCGACATGAGCATACACACAGCGTATGTGAAGGCCATCCGTTCTGCACAACATTATATCTACATTGAAAATCAATACTTCATTGGTTCCTCATATAATTGGAGTCAATATAAGGACGTCGGTGAGAAATCTCTTTTTCCCAAGTTAACATCATTAGGAAATATTGATTCTTTGGTAATTGAAACTTTAGGTTATGCTTTCTGATAGGTGCCAACAATTTGATTCCGATGGAAATCGCACTAAAAGTTGCTGAAAAAATAAGAGCACATGAGAGGTTTGCAGCTTACATTGTCATCCCAATGTGGCCTGAGGGTAATCCAACGGGTGCTGCGACACAAAGAATTCTTTTTTGGCAGGTAAAGAAGTTACAATTTGAAGTGAAATTTCAAAACAGCTTGACATTATTTGTTTGGTTGGTTCAAGTTGCATGTTACTGTGTTGCAGCATAAGACAATGCAAATGATGTATGAAACTATATACAAGGCCTTAGTAGAGGTGGGGCTTGAGGGTGCATTTTCTCCCCAAGATTACTTGAACTTCTACTGCCTTGGCAACCGTGAGGCACCTCCTAGTGCAAACGATGCATCACGAACTGAAAATAATGGGCCAGCAAATAGTCCACAGGTATATATCTCTCTTGTTATTATCTATGTACATTTTGTGCTAGTACCTTTTTCCCTTAACTTTAATCTCATTTAATGTGAGTTTTAAAGTTTATATAACTTGGTTTCAGGCACTCTGCAAGAAAAACCGCAGATTCATGATTTATGTGCATTCCAAAGGAATGATTGTGGATGATGAGAAAGTGATCATAGGGTCTGCAAACATAAACCAGCGCTCATTGGAGGGAACAAGAGACACCGAGATTGCAATGGGAGCTTACCAACCTCATTATACATGGGCAAGAAAGCAATCGATTCCCAAAGGACAGGTATACAAAGATTAAGGCCTTGTATGACAAATGAATGTTAGCCGATAGAAAATCTTCCATTATCCAAACGTTAAGGTGTTTCATATAAACTCTTTCAATAGTTGCTTACCAAACAGCAAAAGTTAGTTTTTTTTAAGCTGATCAAACCTCTAAGAGTGCTAACTGATAAATAAGCTATAGGATATCCAAAAGGTGTTTCCAAAGCTGGTTTTGCTTCTTGGAAAGATATATCAACTTGTAACAACTGACTCATTGATGTGTCTAGTTACATTTGCAATGTTCAGATTTATGGGTACAGAATGTCTCTCTGGGCTGAGCATTTGGGGGTTGTGGAGGATTGCTTTAAGCGACCAGAATCCTTGGAATGTGTAAGACGCATCAGATCAATGGGAGAAACCAACTGGCAGCAATTTGCAGCAGATGAAGTGACAGAAATGAGAGGGCACCTCATGAAGTACCCTGTCCATGTTGACCGGAAGGGTAAGGTAAAGCCTCTTTCTAAGTTCCCAGTCTTTCCAGATGTTGGGGGTAGCACAGTTGGATCCTTTCTTGCCATTCAAGAAAATCTCACAATCTGAGTTTCATGTTTTGGAAAAAAAATCCAAAAACAACTCCCACAAGCATATAAGGATGATAAGTGTTGAAAATGCACGTTTGTAATGTCGTGGTTAGTATTTTCGCTCATAAAGTGTTATGAATTTGGTCAGCACCTTTGTATAGTATAGGACAGGCATTTCAATGTAGTATAAAAGCATGCAGAAGACCCTAATGCCATGCTTCGTAAGCTTATCATGCATCTAAGCAACTTTTGACTTGTCACCAAACTATTTTCCTTTCAAAAAGTGCAACAAATTTGGCATATCATGTCAGCCAAATAACCCCTACCAAACAGGTCTTAAGCTGCAATCATACATTCAAAATATATTTGCATGTTGGCCTGTCAAGACAGGACAGAAAGAACAAAACTTTGCAAAAAAAAAAGGAAGAAGAAGAAGAAAAAAGTAAGATTCATTGCAAGATTAATATAGTTCAGGCAGCTATTGGCCTATTGGATACAGCAAAATTGGTTTGACCTTAACTGAGCCACATAAAAAAATATCACTAAATTCTTTAAACTGTAATCTTACAAACTTCGTGATCGATGCCCATATTAGGAGCCTGAGAAATAGGTGTACCGGGTCTGGGCTCCAATAATCAGTTCAACAAGTTTTTCTGAACAAAAGACAAACTTACACAATTAATGCCTTTTCCATGATGTAATATTCTATTGTTTAAAAACCACAAGAGAAAGTTTACTTAATGGTCATTTGGAAATAAGCAAACCTGTAAAAAAACCAACAACGGGTATAGGTTCTACTAGCTTTTGAGTAGTTTCAAGTCTTTGCCTGGCATATCCAGCAAGCATTAGCATAATTTTCATAAAACCAAGAAAAAAAATAGAGAATGTGTAAAATACACTATAAGAATTTACACTAGAAATGACAATGTTACCGCGTATATCTGCTGAAAAAGGGATCTCTCATAAGGTAAAGTGCCCACAGCATCTTCCTCCTTTTTAACTGCATTATATATTCAAACCAACCACATGAATTACACCATTTTGGCATTAAAACAAATCTTTAAAGATGAAAGACACTTCTTACCTCGTCCATTTCAGGGTTTGAAAATTGAAACTGCTTAGTTTTACTCCTAAGTGGACACAGGTTTATAGAAGAGAGAATGCAACTTCCAATGATATCCACAGCCAATGAAATGACCCAAGGAAACCATGACCGGGCCCCATATTTCCTTACGAGTAATACATAAATAAGAGGTCTTAGCACAAACATGACCTCACCCGTCACAAATAATCTCCCTGGAAAACCTTTCTCCGGCAAGAAGGCCGATAGACTCGGTTTCATCACCATGGCTATATCAACAATAAAGATAAGGACACAAAAAAAAAGAAGAATTAATACTTAAAACTTATAATAAAAACACATTACTTCAGTAGAGCACCAAATAAGATTAAGTACTTGGAGGTTCCTGAATAGCTTCATGGTGTTGCCTATGCAACCATGTAGGCTCTGAAACCATCCTAGCTCGTTGACCGAAACTGTTTAGGGCAGATAATGCCCTTCCTTCGAGATTATACAAGTTGTGCCCACGAAAATTCATTCGATTCGGAATTTGTAGGTGTCCATGCATTTCTTCAGGTCTTGGAACATCATTACTGTTTTCAGTGTTTACAGTTTCCCCACCATGCAAAAGCATCTTATATCCACTATTTTTAAACACAATCAACCTAACGAGTACCCTGAACACATATAAAGAAAAAAAACTAAGATGTTAAATTAGCAACTCGGAATCACCATACAGTCGTACACAGGAAAGTGTCCCCTTACTTGACAGCCTCTGCAATGGCAATGAAATTCCATTTTCTTTCTTCTCCACAGACTTGTTCGGCTACAACCTCAACCAAGGTCTCCAAGTCCTTCAACAAAGTCAGGCATAATGACAACGGGACAAAGGAAGGGTCTGGAGAAGGTGTTGTTTGCACGCGGTTTGGAGTTGTCTCGATTATGTGCTCATTTACGGTAGTCATCATTCCCAAAAGTGATGATACTACAAAGTTTAGCTTTATCTATTAATTAAAACTCTAAATACCGTATAAGAGAGCAGAAAACATGTTTCTTATTTTACATCTTCAGGTGAAAAAGCAATACGATAAATAGTTAATACAAGTGGTAAGAACAATTTTCTAAGCAATGGTTTGTAAGCATCAACAAGAAGCTTAGTGTTACCAAAAGTTCACAAAACCTGCTTCTGGCCCAATCTCTGAACGTCCAAACTCTTCCGGAAGAAGCCAAGTCAATCCCTGAAAACCATTTGCAACAAGTATTCATGGCAAGTTCAATCAAACCCTATGAAAACAAAAGCATATTACAGTGCTGTGAAAGCCAAATTTAAAACTCATATAATGCAGTACTAAATGATAAAATGGGAAATCTAGAAAGAAAATACATGATAGAAACAAGTAAAAATCAAAGATTGTAACAATCCCAACATCTGATAAGTCTCTATAAAATGAAGTATAAAAAAATGTGAAACAGAATATCTCTATTTGGACATAGATGAACTAATAGTAGAGGGCATACATTAATCAGGGAGCCCAGTTGGCGCACAAAATCTCTATTGGTTCTGACCCATCTCTTGTAAGCCTCCATAGTCTCCAAAGGTTGAATCTTTGGCTCCAAGAGCGCAGCTTTAGCCTCTTCACGGCCAAATCAGTCCAAACTGAGCACTGTATTGGTATTGAGCCGCTACCTCGCCGGAATCAAACCTCAGATGGGATAAAAATGGGAAAACGGTCGGTGCCGGCGGTGATGGACTTGATTTTTAAGCCTGAGCGGAGGAAGATACAGCCGTGTACAGAAAGCGCCCGTCCGCATTCACTGGAAAACGAGAAAAATGTTTTCCAAGTCAAATGAAAGAAGTTAGAAAAAATACGAGTAGGAAAATATTAAAAAAATTAAAGTGTAAAAAATTACTAAATTAAATGTTCATCCAAATAAAAATATGTAAGAAAACATTAAATTTTGATTAAAAAAAGAATTCATCTTTATCGTGTTTGAGGTTATATATTACGGAGTATAAATTTAGATATATAATTTTGTTCTATATTTTTTAAATACTAATAACTACTACCTCCGTCCCATTGTCTTTGTCCACATTTGACTTTTAGAACTGTTCATCTAAGCACTTTGACTCATCAAATTCTCTTAATGTGTAAGCCTAAAAATAGTCATGTGTGATCTTGTTTGATTCGTCTTAACATATAGATTATTAATATATAATTTGTATAATTTTTTAATATACAAATTACAAGATAAAATGGATTAAAGAAGTACATTGGATGGTGTGCTAAAAGGTAAGTGGACAAACACAGTGGGACGGAGGGAGTATATTATAGTGTAATATTTGTTCATACATTCTCAATATACTAAAGTTTGTAGAGTTAATGCATGCACTCAGAATTAAACACATGACCTCTCATTTGGGAGAAGCATAACAGTGTCATTAGAATACAAGGTTTTTGGCAATTTTGTTCTATATTAATCTATATAACTATCTTTTTTAGATCATTTTTTGAAGAAACTGTAAGAAGTTTGAAGGAACCGAAAGAGATCAAAAGAAACTAAAAACAGCTGGAAGAAGTTAGAAATTAATTTTTCCAACGTAAAAAACAGATCTTCTAATTGTTGCTTTTGAATGTTGATAACAAAAGTACTTGAGAGAATGAAATTAACATTATACCTTTACTTTTATTTTTTGGATTAATGGGTTGAAATATTACATTGAGACGAAATGATTTTAATATTCAATTAAATAAATATTACTCCGTCAATGAATAAAAATGAAATTGGAGCTCATCAGCACAATTAAAGTGACAATTTAGTAATTAAGGCTAATCAAGATGCTAAGTTTGAGACGAAATATCTAAGGGTTCAAAAGTGTCAAACGCTTTCTTTATTCTCCCTAATGAATTAAAATAGACACTATTTAAAAGTGTCATTGCAGAACAAAACATCCTTCGTTTTTCATGGACATTGTATATCATTACATCCAACTATATCGTATATTTGATATGTACTTATTTCCAAGTAATACATTATTCAATTCGTGTTTTTTACTAATAGAATTTAGGATAAGGTGGGAGTCATTGGACTAAACCATTAGACATTTAGGCTAAATTCATTAAAAGTTTGAATTTAATAGATTACTTAGTGCAACTCAAGATCTTATACATTCATTATCTTTCTCTTCGACTTTCGATGTGTGATATTTTTAACACTCCTCCTCCTCAAAATCGACTATAGTATCATTTTAAATCTAATCAGCTGACCGCTCACAAATAAATTCGCATCCCCTAAAATGAATTCGAGAAGCAACACATAAAAGACAATTAGGTTAAAGATACATTGATCAATACGAATGATCGTTTAAACAAACACATTAACAAATATGGTGGACCAAAAACCTCCTTTGATATCTCGACACTCAATAAAATTTAGGATGATGTAGGGGGTTACTAGACTGGATCGTATGATAAGTAGACTAAATCATAGTAAAAGATTGAATTTAATCAATTACTTAGTTCAACTTAAAAAGTTATATACCAATTAATTTTCCCTTGACTTTCAATGTGAGATACTTCTTAACCATTTACTTGAAAATATCTATTAAATGCAGTCAAATAGAAAGGTAATTTAGGTATTTTCTATCATCTAGACTTAAAGTATATTATCAAAATACTTTTTTACAATGAAATACTTTTTCAAACTGATAATTTCTAAGTAAAAATTTTTCCAAAAAAGATTACGTGAGCTTACTCGGGATGAGGTCATTCTTCTAGCAACCACTCACATAATTTGAAAAGATTATTTTGAGAACTTAATCATATTTTAGATGATAAAAAATATAAATATACCTTTCTTTTTTTTTAGAAACAAAATATACCTTTCTTAATTGCATTACATTTTTGTTTATGAAGCCACCGTACATGTTTAAACAATCAAATCCCCGACCTCAGCCGAGCGGCGAAACAAGAAGACTGGAGCACGGAACACTCCTGCAAGTCAGCCGGCAATCCCCAACCGCCACCCGATTCCGCTATTCAGCCGGAAGCCGCCGCCCGTTCCCATTATTCAGCCGATATCAAGGTGAGTACTCCGGTCTTTGACTCTCCGTATTTGTTCAATTGTCTATTTACACCAATCAGCAAGTTTTTTCGACTTGTTATGAAGAATGTTTTCGCGCGGCCGAATCATTTATCATCTCGTTTCTTTACTTCTGTGTGTGTAGTGCAGGGTGTGTGATGATGATGATGACGATGATGACGATGAGGTATAATTGATATTGTCTAGCTTGTCTACCATTCGGGTCGGCTACTAGGGTTTCAAATTAGGGTTCCAAATCTTTCATATAATCAACACATTGCGAGATATGAAGCTGACTCTCGAATTCGGGTATGCTCTTTCAAACTCCTGCAATTTTTTTTCCCCTTATCTGTCTAGAAGGTGAAAACTGTTGGGTGAGAATGATCGCCTTCAAAGAAAGGTGATGATTTTCAAAGATATAAGTCTGAAAACTATGAACTCAGTCAAACTATGAACATAGTATTTTTGTAAAAAAAAATCTTCTCCTTAATCTTCAATACAATAATTATACAGAGGTGGGTTGGAACTTCTTTGCAATTCTGAGAAGGAACATGTTATTGACATTATGCCAGAAGATGGAGAGCAAAAGGTGAATCTTTTTTGCCCTGTTAAAACCCAATTTCTCTGTGAATATCTTTCCTGGTTTGTGTTTGACTGCAGTAGCTTTGGTGTGTTTTCTTTGCTTTCACGGCAGTTGACCATGAAATACTTGCTCTCTTGGGTTTGCAAGGAGCTGATCAAGGAGAGGAGGGAAATGTTCATGAAGGGAGACACTGTGTAAGTTGCAATCCAAATACTACATTTTTATTTGGAAAGTCATGTACTCGTGTTAGTGTTCTATGGCCATATTGGAAAACAAAACCGAGACTAAAAGACGGGGTTACCCATATGTGATATGATTGTAGGAGGCCTGGAGTTCTAGTCCTCATCAACGACACAGATTGGGAACTGTGTGGGCAGCTAGATGCAGTGTTAAATGACAAGGATGCCATTGTATTCATTTCAACACTGCATGGTGGATAAATTATGAAGCCTTTTTGTCTGCATCCTGCTTTGGCTATTAACTATAATCAGACCAATGTTTGATGTTTTTTGAATGTGTTTTTTGTTTCTTCTTTTCTAGATCCAAATCCTGTGTTGTGTACTTCTAAATGCGTTTGCTAATTGTTCACAGAATCATAGCCTAAGAACGTTTATGAACGTGTACGCATGTGTGTAATCAAATTCGTATTTGCTTCAGAATTACACTTCCAGATTTTTGGGACAGATGAAGAACATAAAGAGGTTTGCATATGATTTTATAAGGTAAGGTTGTGCCGGCTTCTCTCCATCCCATTTTCCCTTCACCGACACGGGTATAGAAAAACACCTTCCTTTGAACTAAAAGGAAGGGAAGGGAAAATTAATGAGTCCCCCTCCCCTTGTTTGGTCTAAAAATTTGGAGGAAGGGAATCCAAAAATTGTCCCCTCATCTTTTAAACCAAATATAGGAAGATATTGTTTTCCCTTCCCTTCTATCCAAAGTCCAAACCATCCCCATCCATTCCTTCTCTGATCAAACCCAACATAACCTAAGAGTGCAAAATGAGGTGAAGGGTAAAGCCGGGGCAAATTAAAGTAGCATTTTTCACACAGGCATATCATTTAGTAATATCACTCCGAGGTAGTAACAAAAATCATCATAACTGTACTACTCAATGGACAGTAGGTACAAAACAGAGTGTTAATAACTTCATATGAATACTGTACTATATATGATTGAACAAATGTAAAATGAGAGCTACTTCTGTAGATAGGTTAGGAGATATGGTCAAAACTTTCATGGGTGGATGAATAGCAACTTCCTGTGGGTTTGCTGCAGCTTGTTGGTGATCTTGAGGACAAGGCCTGGGAAAACGTCGTCGAAATCATTGATGTGAGTGTTCTCTTCGAGGATAAAAGGGTCATTGCACTTGTCGCTGATCGTCTGCAGCGATTCTCCTTCCTTCACCACGTATATTTCGTCACACCTCGCCGCCGCCGGTTTCTCCGGCGAGCTCTCGCCTGCCACCACCGGAGACACCACTGTTGCTGCCACTACAAGGAGGAGGAGGAGGAGGAGAAAGGAGTGCGAGGTAGAAGCTGCTGCTGATGTTGCTGGAACAGGTTTGAACGACATGGCCGGCTTGGATGAGTGGTGAACTGAAGGATTATAAGCTGGTGATGGACGAGGTTAATTGCGGTTGTTGGATGAATAAATAAATGGTTTACTTTGGGAGGTTTAATGGTGATTTATTTATATAGATGGGAAGACGGGGAGGGATTGATCGGAGGTTGTCGTGGGGAAGTGGAGAGGTTGACGTGGGCAGTTAATGGCAGATTTTTAAGGAAGACGGTTTCTCTCTTCTTTCAAACAAGTCTTCCTTTCCTCTTTTTTTCTTAGAAAAGTTTTTTTTTTTTTGCAAAAAAGTCCCTTCTTCATTTTCGGCTGCTGTTTTTTCTGGTCAATTCATTTGAAGGAGTCTACTTATTCCAAAAGAAAGAATAAAACAACACGTTTGACACTAATGGCTCAATACTAAGTATTTTACAAACATATACAGATAATGGTTATCTTCATATATCTGTAAAAAAATTGATATCAAACTTTGTCAATTTTGATACTTGTTTTGACATCAGTTTTTTTTGTCAATATTCACAAACATTTGATACTAGGAAGAAAGATCAAAGTATGACTAAAATATTGAAAATCTATCAAGATAAGACTTCCATGTTTTTAATCTCGAAATAGGACTTACATTACCAAACATGGTCATGTACATTACCAAAAAATTATAGTAATGTGCACATGTATAGTGCCACATTACCACAGTGCAAAGTCTTATTTCGATTAATAAAACATGAAAGTTCTATTTTGATATTTTTCTCTATGCTTTAGTCCTATTTAGTGTGATTTCTATTGATACTAGGCATCCCACACCATTCTTTGTCAATGAGAAATTGGTATTAACAATGGGATGCTGCGAGTATTTTTCCAGAAAAAAACTAAAATTAAAATAAAGAATGTGCGGTGTATAATTTTTTTTTTCTTTCAAACAAATTTGCACTCACATATTTCAAATTGTATTTTTCCTGAAGACCGTAAAGGCAAACAATTAAAGTATACTTCCAAAAAAATGTGACAATTTATTATTCAAGAATTACAATAACTTTTTTTATTTATAAATTTTCATTGGTTATTTGATAAAATAAAATATTCTAGCCATCTCTTTTGAATTTCTGATGTAGTTTTTAAATATGTAAATTTTATTTTTTATTTCTATATCACCCTTATAATAAAATACATTGAAAAAACTTAAAATTTCTCTTTATTTTGTATAATGTGACAAACATTTTGGGACAGATGAAGAATTACTATATTTGTTTAGTTTTTTGTTAGCCAAGATAAGAACGCTGTCATCGATTAAATAAACATTGTACTGGATAACTGTGGTGGAACATTGCACCAGTTCGCACTTCGCACGGATAACTGCCATAATATGCCATGCCCCTTCTCCTGCGATCCATCCTCCCTCAGCATCCCTACATTTCCTCTCCCAACTCCAACCCTTCATCTCCGGCGGGCAGCGTTGCCAAAACCGCCTCTGCAACTTCGAAACCGGCGCCATTCAGAATACGAGCATCCTCGACGGCGAAACCCAAGACGAACAAACAAGAGGATGATAATTACCATGCCACTCTCAAAGCTCTCAACTCCAAAGGACGATTTCCCCGGAAATCTCTTGGCCAGGTGAGCTATATGCACCACGAGCACGGAGGGTACTTTTGTTTCTGCTTCTCTGGGGCATTTTATCGAACACCTTAATGGGCGTGATTGAAAGCTCATGTCTTTCTCTCTTGATCTGGCGAATGCAGCATTACATGCTGAGTTCTTCTGTAAACGAGCAGCTTGTCGCAACTGCAGGGGTCCGAGAAGGAGACGTCGTGCTTGAGATTGGGCCTGGAACTGGTTCGCTCACCAATGCTCTAGTTAACTCTGGCGCCACCGTTCTTGCTGTTGAAAAGGTCCATTTTCTATGAGCACTGGTTTTTGGTTTCATCTAGAATATGCTTATATATGCGTATAATTACAGTTTTGTTCCCAAGTGTAGGATCCGTATATGGCTGCACTTGTGAGGGAGAGGTTTTCAAACCTGGGGTGTGTGAAGGTAATAATTTTACTTGTGCTGCACTGATGTGTTATTTGATCAAGCAGGAACAGAGGTTTCTTTGTGTTTGTTTGGCCTGCTTGATAACTCACATGTTTCTCGAATACAACACAATGTTTTCATCAGCTAACTCAAATTTCAATGAATTGAAGAGCGTCTTATGTTCATATTATAATAATGCAGAAAATACTTCTTACAAAACCAGATACACTCCATTATGTTACATATTGGAGCAAGGTGTCAGTCACTGTCATGCAGCCATTGCCAGTGGAGCTAAAAGAGTTAATTTTTTTAATAATGTTTTAGCTTAGGGTAAATATTGGGCTAAATCAAGATGGCACATCAAGCTATCCTTGCCTCTTACTTTCTACGAAGTTTAGGTAGTAAATGTATTAATGCATCAAGTGCCCAACTTAAACCTCTAAGGTTGTGTACATCTTGAACCCCCCTCCCCCCAAAGATCTTTACAAAGTTGGGATTATACCGAGTTTGTTGTTGTTGGTGGTGGTTTCAGCCTTATTATATGTGGAACCTCTTTTCACTATATATGCAGTATAATCTGCAGATTCACTATCTTCCAAGTACTTATCTTTTCCAATTCTAATTTAAGTTATCTCCTATTTGTAATGAGATGTGATTTTGTTTTCATTCATATTCTCTTAAAGAAGCAGATTACTATTTTCTGCTGAACAATAGGTTTTGGAAGAGGATTTCACAAAATGTCATATACGCTCCCATATGTCATCCGTTTTGGAAACTGGTACAGGACCCGTATACAGTCAATCACCATTTGCAAAGGTGAAAACTTATTTTGTGCTCCCTTTCCCCCTATATGTGATTTTTAGTTACCGTTTTTATAGTCTCTGTGTACTAGTCTATGAATTTGGTTCAAATACAATATACAATTTATACTTCCTTTTTTCCCTAAGAAATGTCAACTTCCATAATGCTTTTGCAGGTGGTCGCTAATATACCGTTCAACATTAGCACAGATGTGGTAAAACAACTTCTTCCAATGGGGGACATCTTCACAGAACTTGTTCTTTTGCTCCAGGTCCACACAAGGACTCACTTGTGATGTTAATATATCATATTAAGTATATCCCTTGCATATTATGTGATGCTGCAAGCATCAGTTCTAAAAGTAACATAGGCAAGGTTTTCCTCCCCAACACTCCTCCATCCAACAAAAGAAGGGTCTTTTAACTATAGCTCTTTTTTGCAATAGTTAAGCATCAACGTTGTGATGGTTATTCTCTGTTGTTTTAAGAAACACTAAATTATTATTTACTTTACGGTAACATTTAACAAAAATCCCATATTTTCATACAAAAGAATGTTTTTTAATATGTAAATTTGATAGTTTCCACAAATGTTGTGTGTTTTGCTTGAAAGTGCAAAAGAGACAAAAAGAAAAACATCACATCCTTCGGTCTTGCAGACAATTTGCATGTTGATTTTCATGACATTGATTTTCAGAGATCAATTAAAATCCTGATATGCTTGCTGATGAGTGATATTTGGTCGGACTTTTGCAGGAGGAAACCGCCCTGCGCATGGTGAATGCATCCTTAAGCTCGTCCGAGTATCGACCTATTAATGTTTTCATCAACTTTTATTCAGGTAATTTGCAGAAAAAGTAATCTGTGAGTGAGGTGAAGGTTGGAAAGTAATTTACCACTCATCATTTGTATATTGGCAATGTTAATGGTCTGTGGGGTTTATGCAAGAAACTTCATGTCTTTGTGAATTGCTTCTATCTTTGTTGATATGTTGATTCATGGAAAAAAAAAAAAGCAAAGTAGCAAAGTTTAGCATTGGGTGTCCTTTTTATCACACTCTTCTTACAAGGAATAATGTAATGAATTAAATTCCAAAACCATCATCACTTACTTTCATTTGCATGGAAAATATGATGGGATGTCAATGAATTGAGAATGTTAGTATAATATTCTATTAGAAAGTGATATTGTAAATCATTAAATCAACATTCAAATAATGAATTGTAACAAAGCTTTTCGATCTTTTATATCTTTATTATTCCCGAGTTTGCATGTACATACTCTCTTTGCAGATCCTGAATACAAAATCAAGGTCCCAAGGACAGCTTTTTTCCCCCAGCCCAAAGTAAATCTTTTATTTAAAACTCATTTATAGCTGTAATATAAAACAAATACTCTGCATATGCTTTGTATGTGATGTATATAATTCTTTCTGCCATAGCTCAGCCACCTTAATGACTTTCAACTTCTACAGGTTGATGCAGCAGTGGTTTCCTTCAGGCTAAAGCAAGCTGCAAATTATCCTCCGGTGTCTTCCAGCAAGAGCTTCTTCTCAATGGTTCGTTTTACTGCTTAATTTTTATGTTATGTGCAAAAAAATGCTGAATAACACCCTGAAAGACCGAATTCAAAAAAAATATCTGTATATAAAAAATTTTTGCCAGCCATTTAGGCTATGTTTGGACTGCAGAAAATTGTAGGGAAAATAGCAAAAAATGTTAAGGCAAATACTGCGCAGGTGTTTTTTTTTTTTAAAAAAATGTTTATCTTTACCATGGGAAACATGATGTGAACTCAATTTTGATGAACTTTTAAAAATTCTACATTTGTTTAGACTTCTTAGTCTTTATATATTAAAAATATATGAACAAAATGAGTTTGAAGAAATAACTCAAAATGATGTGTTGAGTACAAACCAAGTCCCCCCCCCCCCCTATTTTCTTCCATTCTCGATTTCCCCTTTACTTTCCTCACTATTTTATTTCCGGCTTCCAAAGCAACCCTTGGATTTGAGTTTTAGTAACTACAAATAAAATCGTTGAAGATACGGCTGACAAATCTTTTTCTGTCATGTAAGGTTAACTCTGCTTTCAATGGAAAACGCAAGATGTTGCGCAAATCACTTCGGCACATTTGCCCATCCCATGAGATAGAAGAAGCTCTTAGCAGTATTGGTCTTCCATCTACAGTAAGTATTATAACCACATTTTACTTGCATTATTACTTCTGCAGTTCTATTATATGCGTGATAATAAAAGATGATGTTCTTGTGCAGTCGAGACCTGAAGAGCTCGCTCTAGCAGACTTTGTACGGCTGCATGAACTGATGATGAAAGAATAGAACTTATGCTTTAGATTATTGTTTGTAGTTGCTCAGAAGCTTTCAAAAATTGAAATCCATATATGTATGAATCTCAACTGCTGGACCTCTTTCAAGAAATAGAGTACAAGTCCCATTATTGACCAATAGTCTAAAAATGGGTATTTGGCAGGTATACCTATTATGAATAGACATATTATTGGACATAGCAAAAATGGAAGTACAGTACACCATAGAATTGCATTGAGATTTAACATTAGAAAAAGTGACATATATACTCTGTATGATATAAAAGAGTCAAGACACTTTGTTGACAGACAGACTATAAGTTGAGCATCCGGAGATATTGGTCTATTATGGACAAGGCAGATGACCGGTAGCCAGAACCAAACATGTTATAGTGATTCAAGTAATGATACAACATATAAATATCCCTCCTGTCCTCAAAACCTGGCTGTTTTGGCATGACCTAATGAATCAAAAGTCCATGAGGCCCCGTTTGGTACATGGAATTCAAATTATGGAATTGGAATTGAGGACTTCAATTCCAATTCTGGTGTTTGGTAGCACAAAAATTATGTGGATTTGGAATTGATAGTGCAAAAAATGAATTGGAATTGGTAGAATTCAATTCTATGAAATTGAATCCTATGGAATCTCAATTCCAATTCAATTCCAATTCCATCAATTCCGTATACCAAACGGACCCTGAAAGATTTCAGATGCGAGTAATCACTCGCCACGAAAAACAAAACTAGTGAAGAAAGAGACAACTACGAGCCACTTTAATTTTTATGACCGAAGATTTACTTTCAAGAACTCTAGATTGTGCTATAAAGAAATGTTGATCCATTGTTCCATTGTCATTTTGTCTATATTATAAACCTCACACTCAGCTATGATCAGATGATGTGAAAAAGAAAGTGGAAGAAGAGTACCTCAAAGTAGGCGTTGTAAAACGCGGGCCCAAAACCAGCACACCATGACATTCCAAACTCTGCCTCGTTATGTCCATCTAAGAGACACCAAGAATTTGTGAGGTCAACAGACCAAACGGCTATAGAAAGCATCAGCTATTTGCTACAACAAAGTGTTGAATGATTTTCCCCTTTTATGGAAGTTCAAAATGGAGTGATAAATTTCTGCTCTTTAAATGTACCAGTAGAATTTTTGCTCCCATTTTCACATTTCTTTTTTCCATTCTTTTTTTTCAAATCTTTGAAATAAAACTGTTCTCATTTGGTTGCTTTGGCAAAAAACTTTCGGGACCAGTTTAGCATATAAAGTTCATCTTTTAATTATTGAGGTGTTCATAGTTTGTAGGCATAGTTCACTAAGAACAGTTAGGACTAACAATGCAAATATCTCAAGGGCTTACAATAACATGCCGGGTCAAGAATCACTGGTTCCCCATTCTTGTCATAAGTGATATTCCCACTCCATAAATCTCCATGAAGCAAGCATGGCTTCATCACAACATTCTGAAACAGAAGTCTTAGATTCTTTACTAGCTTTTGTCCTTTAGTGTGAACAAGTCCATGTAAAGAAACATGTTAGCATAGCTTTATCACACATGATCGCTTAAGTTCATTCAAATTACAAAGTGTTTATAGGCAAACATACAAATACATTATAGTGCCTTTCTTGGTGCCGCTAAAAGAGGAGATGGTGTGAGTGAGTGTGGAGTGTTCTATAAATTATACCTTCCAATAGTATTATCAACATGAAAACCAAAACCCATATTGGACTTGGCTGATTTATGCATTTCAGCTAGCTTCCTTCCTATTGCAGACTGAGTGGCAACGGACCGTTGTTAATGGATGGAAAATTAAAAAATTACAACAAAGTATATGGCACCGCTATATAAAGATCCCACACACCTGATCACGTTTATGCGCACCAAACTCAATAAATTCCATTATGATATATGAGCCACCTGTTGGCAGAGATCCAACCTATCACACAAAACAACTTCTTGAAATCTCATAAGAACTGAAATGTTTCATTTATGATATAGATGAAGTCCTAAAAAGACGTCCCCTCAAAAACCATCTAACCAATAGGCCCTTAGAGTGTCAAATGGGTGAGCATGAAACAGAACATGAAGGGAGCTATGGACCTACCTTATATGGTTTAGGGACCCGGACTGAGCTGGTTTCAAACATGGCAGTTAAACCCGCGGCCTCTCCTTCAAACATAGAAGGTCCCATGCTCCTGTAACTTCACAAAAATCTGTTACATCTCGATGCGATAAATCATTCAAATTTTTCCCTAGAAAAAACCCATTCAAGTTACGTAAGAAGTATATGATAGACACAGAAACAATGATAGAGGTTATCTTTAACTTGTTCCAAAAATACCTGTTTGTTTTCACAAAGAAAGGGCCAGCATCAGTGTCATAGCAGCTAGCATTACTAATGCACCCGCCACCAATTGACCTGATTCCTTTAATCTTTGTAGCATTTCCTTCTGTGACGATCCACTCACGAATCGGATCATTGCTCATTGCGGCAACTGTCACAACCCACAACCAATCGAATCAGCGTGCCTCTAACAGGAATTTCATAATAAAAATCCACTTGCTATACGAAACGTTGTGTATTTTCCTTTTTTTATCCTTTGTCTCTTTATTATTTTAAAGCTAAACTCTTTCCAACTTGACCAAATGATTTTAACCTCAAACACTGCAAAATTTTCAGAACATGCCCAAACTTTCAAGACTATCAAACTTTTTAAGCACTATTAACTCAATTGCAACGTAGTTAGTATCTTCAAATATATTTTCTCGGCCTATTGATGAACAAAGAGTCAACATCGCCTCTATTGGGATTAGAAAGTGTGACCTCCCATTTAGGAAAACCACGGTGTTACCACTATATGTCAAGGTCTTTTGAAGAATATCAAACTTACGAACTCACGAAATGCCGAAGGGTTAAAAAAAGCATAAAAGTTACTGGAAGTCATCACACAAAATCTTAGCTGATGACAAGAAAAAGTAATCCTTTCCTCCCACAAGAAAAAAGGGTAAAATTACTCCCTCTGCCCAGTCCAGTTTCCAAAATTCTCCTTCATTGGTGACAAAATTGTTAATAGTCTTAATACGATCTTCAATGGTGTTTGTACTTGTTGAGTGACCAACTCTAACATGAATCATTAACAAGATCTTTTTTTTTTGTCGGGAGTAATGTTTATGAGAAGAAATGAAATTGAAGCAATTTACCGATAAGACAATGCCTTTGTTGCTGGAAAGAGAAGAATCTGGAACGAGGATTATGAAGTGCAGAAGAGATGGGGGAGGAGAAAGAGATGAACCCCACCTCCATTGCTTATTTGCTTTCACTTCAGGCACAAGCTTACATTAGATTTTCCTACCTTATTTTGGTGAACTCCAAAATGTGAGTGTCACAAGCATTTAGATAGAACCATAGTTTTCAGAACCGGACCGGGGACCGAACCGGTCAAGGTACTGGTTCACTGGTTCACTGGTCGGACCGGTGGTTCAAGTGGTCGAACCAGTGGTTCACGCATATTTGAAAATTCAATATATATATATATATATATATATATATATATATATATATATATATATATATATATATATATATATATATATATATCTGTGTGTGTGTGTATATATATATATATAGTTATTTATTTAAACAAATAAAAAATTATAAAATAAGAGCTTATATTTTTTATTTTATAATTTACACAATATTTTTAAAATATTTAAATGAGTTAATAGTTTTATGATATGAAGTTCATATTAGAATCCATTGCATCAATATTTTAGAGTTTGAATCATAGTTTCAACATTATATTTTTAGAATTTTTAAACATAAAAAAAGTCTTTTGAGAATATGTATATTTGTTTATTTTTAAGAATGTAATATATAACAAATAATGTCTTCATGCAACAAAA